TGGGGCTTAATTAATTATTGATGAATTATTAATCTAAATAACTCTTAGTTTCCACCCTTGTGTGTACCTCCACAAATCATAAATTCGAACAATATAGCCTCTTTTGCTCCGTTGAAACATTTTACACCATCTAAAACACTAGTTATGGTCTGCGTCTTAAAAGAACTGCCAATCATTTGTTGTAGTGATTGAAGGAGTCTTTATGTTAAATGCCATAAAGCAAAAATCCATTGAATAATTCCAGTTTTGTGTTCATATACATTTATCCATACAGTATTAGGTTATTGCACATGGCTAATAGCATATTATTTATCTTTACTGCACAGTGTGGGCACGTTCTTAAAAAGTGTTTTTGTTTGGGGAATTGCACAATGTTGAGGACTCGTTTAAATAATTACAGCTTGCAATTAACCCCCTTGGGAGCAATTGGTGGAACATCAGATCTCTCCTGCAGACAGGTCAAGTCATTATCTCTGCAGAGCAACATGAGCCTGATCTGATGTCTCTGGGTCCTCCTGCCTCATCCTTCCGCATTTTATTCACTTATTGAACAAATTCTCACCTTTCTTCATTCAAACTGGATTGATCGCCACTTTTCGATTTGTCATGTGTATGTGTTTGTGTGCCAGGTGTGTGTGTGTGTGTGTGCTTGTGCATGTGTCCAGACCAGTACCGTCGTTTGTGCACACACATGTGCTTCCACAATGAAACATTTATTTGTATTACTTTGTGATAACAAGTCGATGCATTAGTTAGGACTTACCCCCCAGCAGCGTTCCACCTCCATGTCCATCATTCAAACCATTTGTGAACATATTGATCCTTCCCTCCCTCCTCCCTCTTTCTCACCCCCGCACCCCCTCCCTCCTCCCCTCCCATATATTCCCAGGGTTTGGAAGGAGGAGAGCCAGAATGGCTCAGACAGCCATTGATTTTTATTTTATTGGCCTACTAGTGGAAAGAGGAGGGATAGGGGAAGGCCTGAGAGAACTCTGCAGCTAAGTTTGTTCTTAGTGGAGACTTTGTGTGCTTGGGTGTGCGTGTGTGTGTTTAACTGGGTTGGGCCTATCTACTTATGTCTGACTGAGACTGTTTTTGTTTTGAGGTAGGGGGTGTTATCTGTCTGTCTGAGGTGTGTGTGTGTGTGTGTGTGTGCATGTCCAGCCACCTCTGAAAGCCATCAAAAGCTCTGTGGTTATGTGTTGTGTACGTGTGTTTCAGTGTGTAGCTTGTGTGTTTGGTGTGGGCGCACACGTGTGTGTGTGTGTCATTGAAGGGACTGGGGAATCTGAGGCACTGATAGAGCTGGCACTAGGGTCCTGGACCCCAACACACACACACACAAAGAGCTGAGGTGTATCCCGGTGCTCATTAGAGCTGGTAATAAGGCTGTGCTGCTGGAGGAGGAGGGAAAAACACAGGGAAAGGAAGATAAGGAGGGAGGAAGCAGGTGGGAAGGGGGGAAAAATGGGAGATTTTAAATTTTAATAACACTGGTACGATTTTGTAAATCTTTCCTGACAGAAAAGTCCTCATTATTTTCATCTGTCTCCAAGGAGCCTCTCCTCCAGCACTGCCTTCTCGGGTAAACGGACTTCTCTCTCTCTCTTTCTCTCACTCTTTCTTTCTTCACTCTCTGACTTTTTTCCTCTCTTTTTCTCTCTGCTCTGTCTCTCTCGCTTTTCACTCTCAGCTGCTCTATTGTCCGTTTCCATCCTTCCTGCTTGCTCTGTTTTCGCTCTCCTTTGCACTCATCATTTCGAGACTCGCTCTCTCCTCCTTCTCTCTCTCTCCCTCTCTGTGTATCTGTCTCTCTAACATTAGTGCCATATTTCTGTATATTTCCATCTAGCAAGGTGTTAGGTGACTGGCTGTCTGCGATGAAGGAATATCAGGAGCCAATAGAATGGCCAGTCTTATATGCTGTTATTGGCTGGCGTTTCAGTTACAGTTACTGCTAGTCTGTCTTTTTATGTGCAAGTTCTTCAGGCTGGGGGGTGGGACGGGGGCACTGACAGAGAAAATACTTGGGGATCATAGTATCATAGCGGGGAGTGGGGTAAGGTAAGCCCTCTCGAGCTCAGTGTGTGTAGGATTGTGTATGTGGGTCAGCATGTACGTCTGCAGCCTTGTACGTGTGCATCGTTCACACATCCTCACCTCCTTCCCTCCACACACCCACACACACACACACCTCTCACTCCCCACCGCTATGTCAAGTGTCAAAGCTGGAGGATGGATCCGGTTTGATAAGTTCTGTTCTGTCTGGCCACGTGTCAGAACAGGATCAACCATATGGCAGAGGAAAACCATGTTCTTCACTCTACCTTCCAATTTTGGGGAATTTTATATTTCATTTTTGGGTTTTTTTGGGGGGGTGGCAGGTGTTGCGGGGTAAGTTTTATTTTAGCTGTTTCTGTTGGCTGAAGATTTTAAATGGACACTAAAATGACTTTTGCTCTAGAAGCTCATTAGTGATGTCCTTTGTGAGATAAAAAAACAAAAAACTTTTCTTTTTATAAACACATTGGTATGAATGATCAAATAGACTGATGTGCAAAATAACATTTCCCATTTGTTCTGTTGTTCAGCAAGTATTCTATGACTTTGTGTGTTTGTGATTCTAATATAAGAAAAATAATTTCCCGCTCAGGCTATAACATGACGAAGTAGTGACGTTCCAGCCTTCTCACCTCTGAGAGTGATGACATATATACCCCCACTGCTCACGCTGTCAGTGGGAAAGTCTGACTTTTTTAAACTTTGCTCAAATGACTGTACCCCCCTCCACTAACTCCTCAAAGTCTGTCTGACTGCATCCTTATGCACATGTGTCTATAGGTCAAAGGTGAGCCGTGGTTCATAAACTTTACAAGATCTCGTAGTTTCACTTGAATTATTGCAAGCATTAGAAAAGAGAGTGCAAGCTCACTGGCTTGGTCTTGGCTGCTGCTTATGGTGAATTCAATCTCACAGCTGGTAAACTGAAAGCCATACCTAGAGTTTGAGCTGTGGCAAGATTGAATTTATTCTTAATTTATTTTGCAGGAATTAGTTGCTTCGGCAGCTTGAAGTTTCTCACTGGGCAGCGCTACATTTTTATTAAACTTTGAACTTATGTTTGACTTGACACAAATTAAGATTAGGTTCTTTACAATACTCTTCAAGATGTGTTTTCTTGGATTGATGTACAGAGAATTGATTTAGGTCAAAATAAGTGTTTTTAACATGTGTCCACTGAGAAGAAGTTAAATTGCCACACTGTCCTATTCCTTACACTTTTGAACTTCTAAGTGTTTGAAGTTATTCAGCGTTTAATGAATGCAGTTTTTATAGAATTTTATAGAATTGAACCCCCCCCGGTTCTTCATCCTTAAGGCTAAACCTAACTTCCTGTTCGTTTCACCACCCCCGGGCCTCTAATCTCTCTGCCCTCTTTTCCCCAGCTGGAAAATTAACAAACAATACAAAATGATCTAGATTTTCCCAACACACACAGACACACATACTGTATACACGAGCACCTACTCTGGGTATTAGGCTGGGATAAATACCCATTCTAAATAATGAATGCCAATTAATAGGGGGAGATGTGGCCTTGCTAAGCGTGATCTGATTAGTGTTTCAGTGGCATCTCCTCCCCTGCTGGCTTCAGCCAATTGTTCCAGCATGTCATAGCATCTCTAATACTGCTTCAGCTCTTATGTACATAGACATGTGGGCAGTATGGTGTTCCTATTTTTATTACTGTTTTGTTGTTTTTTGTGTTATCCTGCAGGATGAAACCTCAGTATGGCATAAGGACCCGCAGCAGCAGGATATAATGGTTACTTGTGCTATACAGAATGTGTTTTTTTTCTCAATACAGACACTATTAGGATCATACACTTACAGTCATTTGTGTGATTGCTTTTATTTTTAAGGAGGTTTTGCAACTGATATACAACAGTGGGTGTAAATATGTTTGTCTTGCATGTGGCTGGAGAGTCCTTTGTGAAAAGGAGTTGTGCAAAGTAGACACTTCTCTGCAAAGAAAATACAAAGACATATGCACAACACTCTTATGATACACAACAACATTGTTGTGTTTTATTTTTGTTGTCCTTTCGTTCATAGCTGTGGGCTTTAAGTTACTCGGGCTGGTCCGGGCTGGAGGACCAGAGGAGGCTGTGAGCTGGTCTGTTGTCCTGGGCTCAGACTTGTGCTTTAGAGGGTAGCAGGGTGACTGAGCAACCAGCCAGCCCCCCTCCCCAGTGATAAATGGCCAGAGCATGGGCTATTCATCTCCTGCTTAGAGAAGTGGACAGTGCCCCCCCCTCCTGGGCCTCTCCTCCACCCCTCCACATGTCAGCAAATGTGATAATTCTCTCATTTGTCAGGAGCAGCGGAGGGTTCGGTGCTTTGTGAGTGTGTTTGTCTGTGTGTGTGTGCGCATGTGTGAGGACACAAACTGGAGAATTCTGGGGACACGTGAGACGAGTACTCGCACTCCTGATGGTCTGGAAGACTTCAGTGCAGCAACACCTGTCCCCTCGCTCTAGCCCTCCTTTCCCAGCTCTATTTTTTTCTGGGTCAGGGGCCCCTCTCGTCAAGTTGACTTAGGCCACAGTGGGAAAATTTAAGTGCGCAAAGGAGTGAGTTGTTTTATGGCAAATTCCACCAGTACTTTGGTCATTTTAATACCTATAGGAAACTACGGAGCCACTTTTTCCACTTAATTGTGCAAATAAGGAGCTCATCTGCTGTGTGTGCATGTTTGCACGTCATGCTTGTTCATAAGTGTTTTGCTCTGTTTTTTGTTTGAGACATTTTAGACTAGAGCTTTGCACAAAACCATAAAAAAAAAGTTGTGCGTGTGTTTTGCGGTCCCCTGCTAGCGATTGTAAAGGCCTCCAGGTGATGGCTGGTCATTTAGCTTGCACATAAACTTGTGACATGTTAGACACAATGTGACTTCTGTGAACCCTTCCTGATCTCTCTCTCTCTCTCTGTGTCTGCAGGATCATCCAGAATCGGGTCCTGGTCTTCATCCTCGGAGCGATCATCCTTCTCACCATCATCCTGGCCATCTATTTCAATGTGCGAGGCCGCTGATCTCCCCTCTACCCACATACGCACACACACACACTAGCTCCCCCACCCCCCGAACACATATACAACCACACACGTGTGATTAATAGCGACAAAAGCGTTGTTCTGCTGTAATTAGGACAAATGGTCCCAATGAATCACTTTCTCCAAAGCTTGACAGGGAGTTGTTTCCATCTTTCTCTCCTTTCCTCTTTGCTATTTCTTGCTCTTTCTTTCCCTCTCTACCTTTTTTCTCCACTTTGCACTTTCCTGTCTCTCTCTTCTTTTCCTTTTCTCCTCTTCAGCTATTTTGGGGGAGAGTATAATAGTTCATATTTTTCATGGCGTCATCTTCACTGTGGTTTTGCAGACCATCCTGTGTCCAGGTGAACAAGGGATAAGGATTTTTTTTGCAACTCGAAGCAAATTCAGATGTAATGATTTTTTTCTTTTCTGCAGTGGAGGTGGATCAAGTGTTATGCATGAGAGACAGTGAGAAAGAGAGGTATAAGAGTGCACGAGTGACAGTCATGGATTGGAGGACCCACACTGTTTTTTAACACCAACAGCAGGCACACATACTGTAGTATGAGTTTCTGTAACTAAATGATTCAGCTGTTCTTCATATAGCTCCTACGCAGCACATAGGACAGAGCCTTCAGATAAGATGTGCTGTTCACGCTCCTTTAAAACACTCAGCAGAGCCTAAAATAGACAAGTGGCACTGCCTTGAAATGCACATAAAAAGGTCGAAGGTCAGTTCAGTCAATCAAGATGGAAGTTATGTTCATTTTAATCATGAAGAAACTGTTGATTAATATATTTTTAATACAAAAGGCAACTGACACGTCCAATACAGAGAGAGATTTCTTCAGAGCCAGCTTTAATGATCACATGTGGTACAGTTCCCCTGCACCTCCCAAACGCAGCTCATTCCCCTGAACTTAATGTAACTGTCCTTTGCGAAAAGTCGTAGGCATCATACTGTATGTACTAACATTTAAACCTACTTCATGTATAGTGTTTTGTTCTCGAGACAAGTGATTGTTATTTATTTATAAATGCATCAATGATTTTTCTGTTAGTTTCTGTGCTTATAGCTGTATATTGTATGAGGTTAAAAGGTGTTCAGCATTTACATTCACCACTTTTTTGTTGTTATTTGGTTATTTGGTTTTTTTGGAGTGATTAGTCTAACTGCAGAGCACACGCCAGGACCAACAGAAATATGTGGATTTCTGGTTTTGTGTCTCAAAGTTTTTATTTTTTCTTCTGTTCTTATAAATGGATCTAACTTGTTTTTGACCATCTGCTTTGTTCTGTAGTTTACTTGTCAAGTTCTGAAGATTGTGATGCGGCCCTTGTTTCTGTGTTTATCTGTACACTGACTGATGATGTGATACTTTTGCGGGTGTTTGAAAAACGTGTGCAAGTTTACTGCTGTTTAATTCTTCAGGGGCAAACCATTCTTCAGCGGGTCTCGGAAAATCTGAATTTCATTGCATATTTGGTGAATGTCTGAAGCTGAGAAGGTAACGGTGCGCACCACACAAACACATACACACACACACACACACTGGAGTGGAGCATGGGAGTGTGCATGTGTCTCTAGTGTTTAGTGTGGCAGCTCCTGGCGAGGACATTTGCTATTCTGTTTTAGGGCCACGGTCTTCATTTTTGAAGATGAGCGGGCGTCGGGGTGGTGAGGGTTCCCCCCACACCCCCCGTGTAGACCACCGTTTCACAGGCCCTCACCAGCCACAGTGCCTCTGTCTACTTCAAAGCCTCCAATTAATGGCCAGCAAAATTGTGTGCCTCTGACTGTCCCGTGCGGGGCCGACCCACCAAGAGTTATCATTAAAGTCAAGGAATTAAGAAAAAAGGAAGGAAGAAAAAAAGGAGGGAGAAGGAAGGAACTGAACAAGGAAGCATGGAGGTGGGGGGCGAGGGTTGCAAATCCCTGGCAGCTTGACAAACCCCATCTAGTAAAGACCCTTAGTGATTGTTTTTTCACCCAGTGCGCCGTGTGTGTGTGCGTCTCTGCATTTGCAGCCTACCGATGCTTGCTTTTCTCTTCTTCTCTTTCTGTCTCTCTTTCTCTGTCTCCCTCTTGCTCCCCCGCCTTTCTCTCTACCTTTCCTGCCACCTTTCTCCTCCCCCCTGTCCTCCCCTCTCTCCCTCCCTCCCTCCCAGCCTGTCAGATGAGTGGAGCAGTAGCTAGCGAGTGAGCGGTGGAAGGCAGCGTGGCGGCGGCTTCTATTTGAAGTTGTAATGGTGTCAAAAAGTCAGGGCTGACTGACAGACGTCAGTCCCACAGGGCCTCATTAAAAACAGACCCACTTGACAAGGAAATAATTGAGCGCCGGCGACAACTCGGGGGCCCCTCCACATTTTTAGATGTTTTTATTTTCTTTTCATTATTAGCGCCGAGCTATTATGTTCATTAAGAAATGGCATTAAAACAAGTTTTTAAAAGCGGAGAGAGTGAGGGAGGGGCAGAGGGATGGAAGGAGGTGGGAAGCTAACGATTTGTTTAGAGCCTGCATCCTGTTTGATTATTTAAACAGGAGCACTGTCATGTGATACCTTGGCAGACGTAGGCCATCAGATGCCTCCTCTTCTTCTCTTTTTCTTCTTTTTTCCCTTTTACTCATCCCTCACTCCCCCCAGCTTTTTTTCTTCCCCTCTGTCCAGCTCTCTCTCTCTCCACCTGTCCATCTTTCTTCCTCGCTTCCCTTTCTTTCTCTCCCTCTGAGCAGCGGGTGTCGTTGGAATATGAACTAGATTATTCATCAATGCCCCCCACGCTCCACTACCACTCCCCCCATTTCGCTGATTTGGTTTTCGACAAGCGTCTCACAGCAGCAGCCTGAGGATGAAAACTTGTCAAAAATAGGTTATATCTTATTCCAAGGGGCAACAATAGCAGCAGGTACAGACACCTTTTAATATTTAATTTAGACTGGTGTTAACCCTCCTTAAGTGACTGGAGCTGTGCCTTCCATGCAGACACCAGGAGAGGAACACTAGGGGGAGGCGCACAAGAGTGGAGAGCCATTAATTATTTGATGTCTGAAAAGTGATTTTGAAGCTTCTGTTTGCCAGAGAAAGGATCGAGCCTTTGAATGTCCACATTTATTTTCTACATGAACCACGTCCTCAGCATGACTGCCCTGTGAGAACTGAAACATCTCCGCTCAAATCACACTTAGATCCTTGGTCCACTGTGCCTCGCTTGATACCGTAATGATAACGCAAGTGATCATATAACGATGGTTTTGGTCTCTTAGTTCATCTGTGGAAATGCACCATAGGAATCATCTTTTACACCACCACCATGCATCAGTCTATCTCACTAATATCCCTTGTGCCCATCTCAGTGCTCATCCCTTTCTCCCTTGTTTTTTCTATAAGGTTTACATAAAAGTTTTTTTTTATTTAAAGCCCGTGATGCACCATGATTACAGAAAGCCAGATCTTTGTCAGCCATTTAAGATGACAAGGGAATCTGACAAGCATCATTTGAGCTCTGTCCCCTGGTGAAGGGTGGGCCTTAAATGGATAAACAGCTCCACTGGTGGGATCACCACAGGAGGGTGTGCACTTCATCTCTAGGAGTGTCCACGATGGTGCCACCCCTCCACCACCACACCACAGCTAACCAAGAAAAACCCTCAATGGTACTGTTTGACAGCTACAATGAATCTTCTACTGTTTCAGCACACCCAGAAGCACACATGCACTGTTGCATGTATGGTGGCTGTCCCCTGATAAAAAGACACACACACAGTGCTCACACTCTACTGAAAGGCTCTTAGAAGAGGAGCCATGTTCTCCGTTTGTACATGCCACCAGCCTTAGCAGAATGGCGTTCTTTCTCCTCTGCCATTTATCTGTCTTTTCTTTCGCCCCCAGCAGTGCTGTCGACCATTTTACTAGTGTTCAAGCTCACAAAGAAATGACAATGCTCCCTATTATTTGTGGAAGTTACAGGGGCTGCAGCCATACATACATGAACGTGTGTGAGTGTGCATATGCATTCAGCATGTGTCCCTCTGCGGTTGGAATGGAATGCTTGCTGTAAAAGATTATGTTGAATTGTCTGCAAAAATATGTTTGTGTCCATCTGCAATGGCCGTATGGTCGACCAGGACTCTAGGACACGTTGTTCCCCTCAGACCTCCAGTATGATACTGTGCTGCTCATAAAGACGACCTTAATGATCTCTTTTGGTGTCAGCGGAGATTAACATCTGTCATTAAAGCAGTTCTGTGTCTTGACAACCAAGATGCCGTGTCATAACTTGCACTGCCTTTCTCAATTGGCATGTTCTGAACACGCAACAACCAGATGGGGGAGCAACCTAGCTGAGTCCCCAGGTACAAGGAGGTAAATCCATGAGCCGACATCTTGAAACCTATAGCATCTTTAAACCTGTTTGATTTTCATGGCACACATAGGCTTTAGCAGAAGTTGGGTTAGAGCTCGGCTGAGCCAGGCTAACCCACTCTTTCATTTCCATCTTACCTTCTGTCTCTCCCCCTGTAGAATACTACCACAGCCTTTGAACTGAAATTAACTCTTTACCACTACAAAGAGATACAGTTGTAACCAGCAATGTCATTTGCATGATAATGGGGATGTTGAAGAAAATTGAAGTGGTTTTAGTGGCAGTGGTGTTTTTATTTTTTGGCTTTGTTTTGTTTTTTTCTTGTCAGTATTTCTGTGCCCTTTGCCCTGTTGATTAAATTGCTAGCTGTGACCTACCATATGCAGATTAATGTAGAGTGTGCCCAAACGGATGTCAGTGGTGATCATTAATGAATTTTTTTGGCCATGTGCTGAGTGCATTTCTTTGGTATCAGATGACTGGAATGACACGAGCAAGAGGAGTGAGCAAATCACTGACTTTTTTTCTATGTTCCTGTCTGTTTTAAAAGTGAACAAATGATAAAAAGAGACAGAGAAATGAGCACGATGAAGGCCGGGTTACCTGTGAGGCACTCAGTGACTTGGACGTTCAGAGAGAGTAGGGTTTAGTTATGATTTACTTTGCATATGGTGTCTCAGCAGACACGATTCTAAATTTCCAACTGGGAGGCATCAGTGGAAGAATCACTGTCTTTAAAAGACGGCCTGCCAGTCACACTCCTCCTGTTGCTGGAGATCTGAGCGTACAGTGATAACCCACGACATCTTTCTGGAAAAACGGAGAGTCGATCAGCTTTGATGGAGCACATCCGCCATGACAGGCTACTGAAGAGCTCACTAATGAACTGGGTAGGAGGGGAAGGGGGGCATCGCTTAGCATGACGGCACAGAGGACAGGAGTGGGGGTTGGATGGACAGATGGATGGATGGAGAAGGTGTGCACTTATTTGCAGTGAAGCAACATCATCTCCTAGACATGCAGGAGGATAGAAGCATGGCAAGATGAGAGGGAGCCATCAATGTGTTTGTATTGTCTGGAAATAAAAAGACAACCCCTTCAATACCCCCAGTAGCCTGTTACCCACTCCCCCGCTCAATGCAACCTCCACCTCAGATGGTTAGTGGCAATTAAATATTTATAAGCGGGCATCCAATCCCAGAGCTCGCCGGCCAGTTCTGTCCATGTAAGCCAGGAAGTGGAATTGGATTGTTATGGAGGCGGGGGGTTCAGGACAGTGTGTAGGGTCAGTTGAATCAGGAGTCCAAAGCTTACAGAACCTGTATGAAGTCCTCTTATATCCCTCCGCTTCTCAGAATACAGTGCCACACTCACTACACACAGTACATGAAAGAATCCTGCTTTGTCCTCACCTGTTTAAACCATTTTCTCAGACACTTTTTAACTGGTTTAGAAGTTGGAACAAGCCTGCTATACTTTACACAAGTCCTATTTACTCAGATAATTTGTTCAAATTCCACATTCTGAACCAAACCTTCCCTGAAACATGTAGTACACATCCTTCTCATTCCGCACACATCCTTTCAAACACAAGCTGCATCTCCTAAACACACACATACATACACTTAGACTTTCACAAGCTGCATCTCCTAAACACACACACACACATACACTTAGACTTGCACAAAGCACACCCCTCTCTATTGAGACATATGTGGCAACAAAATGCACAACTTTTCGTTCATCTCAAGGACTTGTGAGGGCCCCAGTGAACTGAGAGGCCATATTGATTTTCTCTCTTTTCATGCTGTGACTCTGGGATTACCCATTTTCTCATTCATTTTTAAAGACAACTCGTGAGATTCTTCCTTCCACTTTTTTTTTCCTTTTTTTTTTTTTATCCCTGACCCCCCTATGTTTATCCCTAACACATATTCCCATATACACACACTCCCCCACCAGCACAGTAGTTGTACCCATCCCTTTCCCTCAGCCAAGTCCCTCCTTGACCCTGAAAATTGTAATTCAGCCATAGATCACAGCTGCTGAATATTAGGGCTTACAAAAGCAGTTAAATAAAATATGTTGAAATCGTCCGATCTCAGAGGCCACGGCAGAAATTCTAATCAGGTGAGCGAAAGGGGAAGGAGTCAGCATGGGGATTATGGGTAAAGCGAATTGTCTGGATCCACTGGGCAAGAGTGAAGAGCTGACAGAAGTGGGACTGAACCCAAATCATATATAACCTTAACACTGTGTCATGTCATGAAGGTTTTTGAGATATTTGAGCTTTATCATAATTGTAATTTTTCTTAAACTTTAAAATAAAATTGAGACAATATAATAGGCTACACACAACCAGTAATTCCTTATGCTTCTGTTTGAGATAAAAAGTCATTTGAATGAAACATAATTTCAAGTAATCAGTGCCATACTGTTACCCATAATTAGTACCAAAACCAGCATTTCCTCCAGCCAAAGGTCTCTAAAGTCTGCAGCTTCTCGTAACCTGCAGTGTCAACCAAA